GAGTCCTGGTGTGGTGTTGTGGGTTAATACTCCAGACTGCAAAGTCGTTTGAACTGCAAGCTCACCAGCTGCTCCTTGGAAATCCTACACAGGGTCACTATGGGTCAGAACCAACTCAATGGCACTTCACAACAACAACAATAATGTTTTTCTAAATTCTTTGAAAGTATACTTAAGTGCTATTTACCTCAACAAAAAGGTTTAGATACATGCAAGGAAGAAATTATACCTGAACTTCTATCAAAGTTTACCATTTGAGTATAAAGTCAAGCATATCATCACTAAGATTTTTCATGGGAGCTGATCATTTCTCCTCCTTTATGGCAAGAATACATTTTGTCCTCCTGAGACAGATGATTAGAATTTATGGGAATAAACTTTAAAATGTCTTCTCTAATCCTTTAAAGGTACAGGACATGAATGAAGGAAAGAATGAATGTAGTGAAAAGTACTTGACCCAGGGAAGTACTTGATCTAGTACTTTGTAAGTTAGTGGCAAAAAGCTGCCCTTTTGCTCTGTTTCCTTTTAAAATGCATCTCACCTTTGTGCTCAAGAGTATAGGTTATTATACCAAATTCAAGACAAAGCAGAAAATAAAAGTAGAAAAGCTGCGAGTAAGTTAAATCACCTCACTCATCACATTGATTCAAGTCATAAGAATTAATACGTTATCCAAATGATATGACATTTCGAATTCCAAAACTATAAATCAATATTTCTAAGTAAAGCAGGTTGCCGTGTCTAAGAAGCTGCCCTTCAATCCATGATAATCAGTTCATGGAGAGACAATGCATATTTAAAATGAGGTGTCCTCTTTTATATCTGAAAATACTAATCTTTAACTCTTGAATCTTTACTGGAATGTTTTTAGTTGATATATATTTTGCTTCGGGACAAAAAAAAAAAAACAACCACACAAGGAACATTGCTAGTGGTGATGGGATTCTTTTATTTTGGGATTCTTTGATTTCATCACTGACCTAACAAGTCTTCCCCCTAGATGTCTTAAAGAAAAAATTCATTTTCTAGTTATTAATTTGTCATGAGCTGTCAGATATTATTCATCTTTTAAACCACTGATGTCAATAAATTAAATGAGATCATTTTCAAGCCTGAAATTTGTGCAAGGCAATTAATTTGCTCCACACACAAAAAGATCTTTATTTTTAAAGTTTTCTAAAAGCAACCAAGGAGCGCTGGTAGCATAGTGGGTTACAGATTTGGCTGCTAGCTGAAAAGTCAGCAGTTCAAGTCCACTCACCGGAGACAGATGAGGCTCTCTGCTCCTGTAAAGATTTGTTTTTGTTGTTGATGAGAGTGCCATTCAACTAGTTCTGACACATAGCAATGCTGTATAGGGTTTCTGAGAGTAGCTAGTGGGTTTGAACTGCAGACCTTGTGGTTATCACTCGAGTGCTTATCATACAGTGTGCCATACTATAATGATTTACAGCCTCAGAAACCCTATACAGAGTCACTAGGAATCAGAACTGTCTCAGTGGCACATAACCACCACCACCAAAAGCAACCATTCAAAACCATTTTATTTTTACTTTGCAGTGATACTCGTTGAATGAATTTAGCACACACAAAAAATATGTATATATTAGTGTGCCTTAACCTAAAATGCCTCATTCGTATATGGAAAATACAAACTAGGAATTCAATACACTTTTATCATTTAGCACTTCAGAATAAAATTATCAATACATACACATCTGCTGTTTTGTGATAGTCTTCTGACTACTATCCTCATATATATATTGTTGCTGTTGTTAGTGTCATGGAGTCAGTTCTGACTCATAGTGCCCACCTTGTATATACATAGCAGTCCAGATATTTGGAGTCCTGATGTGGTGCTTCAGATTAATGTACTGGACTGAAAGGTCAGTTTGAACTCCAAGGTCGGCGGTTCTAACTTACTGGCCGCTCCTCAGAAATCCTCCAAAGGGTCGCTGTGGGTTGGAACTGACTCATCGGCACTTAACAACAATATATATGTATGTATATAGGTATATATATACATATGCCTGGTGTGGTGCTATAGGATAAGCACAAAGTTGGTTTGAACCACAGTGTTGGCAGTTCAAACTCACCAGCCACTCCTAGGAAACCTTACACGAGTCGCTATGAGTCAGGACTGACTGGACAGCACTTAACAACATACAGAATGAATAAAAACATGTCTGCATTTTGTCACTTTTTCTAACTTTAACATTGAAAGGGTCAACTGAGTTACGTGTTGCTAATAATATCACTCGCAAGGGCGTTTGTTAAAAACTAAACAATTTTGTTTGGAATTCTTTTGATAATATTACATACTATGGTGGTAGAGACTGTAAGATATATATTTGACTATTGCATATAAGTAATGTATTAATTACCAAAAAATCAAATAACACTAAGATTTATAAAATAGAGCCAATGTTATCATCACAATTGTATATTTTGTTGTTGTTAAGTGTCCCCGAGTCAGTTCTGACTCATAGTGACCCTTGATAGGATTTTCGAGAAGTGGGTGGTGGGTTTGAATCACCAACCTTGCGGCTAGCTGTCCAGTGCTGAACCATCTTGGTTTTACATTATATGTTTGACTTCTAGAGAAGGAATATTTGCTCTCATGAGTGAAATATATAAATTACAAGGATTTATCAATATAATAATATCTAACCTTCACTGGAAATTATTTGACCAAATATAAAACTCTGGTTTATCAATATTCAATAGGGAGAAAAAAGAGCCATGTATTAATTTGACAAATATTTCCTGAGTATTAATTATTATATAACTTGGTATGAGATACAACTGGCAATACAAATATGGCAAACTGTGCTCTCAAGGAACTTAAAATTTAAACTAAGGAAATTAATAAATATAAGGAAAAAGAGAAATATTGCTCCAATGAAATAGCAAAAATCATAAAGAGGCAATCCTAACTCTATTAGCCATTTTCTCAAACATTTAGGCCCTTAGAAAGAAATGACAGTTCAAATTATAGGTGTGAATCTTAAATTGAGCAAAATAAATATTGGTGGTTAATTTTTCTTTGTAAACTTATAATTAGTTTTAACAGAGGAAGGTTCTACTACTCACAAAAATATGATATGGAGACACTGTGATAAATTGTTGGTTAGCTGCGCTGTTCAAGTTCTTCTCTTTCTACATTTTCTTTCATGTTTAAGACACAGAAACCTACTTAATGCGTTTTAAAGTTTAGGTAGAAATGACAAACTGAACTAGGAACATTGTTTGGATGATTAGAGAGAAAACTTATAGCTAAGTATTTCAAAAGTATAAGATTGATGGTGATTCTAATATCTAGTTGCTCTAAATTTGTTTTAGGAAAAAAAAAATTGATTTTTATTAGGCATTTACAGGTTTTCTAATTCACCTACCTATTGTTGCAGTGTTTGATGTTGTAATTTCTGGAATGTATGCTGCTGAGTTTCAGAAAACAAGAGAAAACAAAGTAAGTTTTTTGTAGGGGGAAAATGATACTTCTGAGAACATCTATAGTCACATATAAAATGAATTAGGTTAAAACTAATGTTTCTGAGAAATTTTATTAAATAAGTGAAATTAAAGTTTTAAATCTAGAGATAATAAGTAAAAGATCACAAAACTTGGATCATATTGTAAAAAATTTTCTCCTAATGTTTCCACTAACACATTCTTTAAATACCATGTGCATTTCATTTGGAATTATCAAGCTGCAATACTTAAAAAGGAGATTTTGTTTAAATTCAGTTGTAGTTAGAAGTTATGGTTTACCTGTGTCAGGGGTTCTTGTGACCAGTGTCATTGCTACACCGAGAAAAAAAAATATTGGAAATGTATGTTAAAATAGTACTGGAAAAACAAGTTTAGAGTATTTAAAAAGATGTGTTTGTAAATCTCTAGAATGAAAATAAATGAACAAATAAAACAAATATTATAGATATTTATGTCTCATAGTATACTTTGTATTCCGTTGGTCACTGCTTTAATTAAAATTATTCTGCACAAGTTAAAAAACAAATTGTAAACTCTATTAAAACTTTAACATAGATAAGCTCATAATCTTGGGAGACACCAGGATCACATGGCATAACAGAAGACAGTGTTCTACATTCTACTTTGGTGAGTAATGACTGGGTTCTGAAAAACTGTGAGTGGCCATGTAAAGTGCAATTATTGGTCTCTCCCTGTCCAGAGGAAAGAAGAGTGAAGAAAATTGAAGACGCATGGAAACAATTAGCCCAAAGGGTTAATGGACCATGTGAACATCAGTCTCCATGGCCCTGAGACCAGAATCAGATGGTACCTAGCTACCAACTACCAACATTTCCATAAAGGATCATATTAGAAAGGCCTAGACAGAATGGGAGAAAAATATGGAACAAAACTCAAAATCATAAACCAAACAAGGTTTACTTGTTGAATAGAGATTGGTGAAACCTCTGAGGCTATAGCCCTTAGTCACCTATCAGATCTAGAAATGAAATCAAACAAAGATTCAGTTTTCAGCCAAACTATAGGCAGGTTTCTAAGGCAAATGTTAACACAAGGGAGGTATGCACACTTTAGAATAATCAACCAATTGGTGTCCAAAGGGCAGCATTTGCCCAAGGGCACAGTTCAGAAGTGTTAGAAAAGAAGGAGGATGGAAACAGGAAACAAGGGAGGAAGTGAGATAAATGATGTTGTAGTGTGGGGGCTGCAATCAATAAGATGAAACAACATGTGCATAAATTGTTAAACAGGAAACTGATCTGCTCTGTAAACCTTCATCCAATTCACTATAAAATGTTTTAACTCAATAATAGTATGCAGAACATTCTTTTTCTACTTAGGTAGGATGTTTATTAACATTACAATTCTATATAGATCCTGATACTACTTAGCATTGGCATTTAAGAAATGAATAAATAGAAAATGACATTTGAAAAAGGGCCAAAATGCTAGAGTTGAAAATTAAATTTGCTACGAAATTTAGCAGTCTTAAAAAAAGGCATCTTACCTGTCTCTGTGCTTAATACTGAGGTAGCTCTTGTAGTAGAAACTGTTTAAGAGAACATTATTTGTGAGAATAAGTAATTTCTGCTGGGAAATTCAGTTTAAGAAATGTTACCATAAAATAAAATAAAACATAGATTAAATTTGTATGCAGAAATCAAATGACAACATAATTTTTCATTTAAAATAATACAAATACAATTTTATTTTTATTTATATCTACCCAAAATAACTATTTCTGCTAATACCACTTAATCACAGGAACTTTATAAGAGCTATTTGTTGTTGTTAAATTCTATTGAGTCATTTCCTACTTATAGTGACCCTGTATAGATAGGGTTTCCAAGGAGCAGCTGGTGAGTTTGAACTGTTGATCTTGCAATTCTAAAGGACCATGTGATTCAGTGTGTATCCTACAGTACCACACCAGGTCTCCATTTACAAACCAAGAAATTAGGTTCAGTACTTGACATGTACTATCTACATTTTAAGGTTGTTGCTGTTTTTGTTAAGTACCCTACAGTTGATTCCAACTCATAGTGACCCTGTATTTGGTTTCCTAGGCTTTAAAAGTTCACTGGAGCAGAAATCCTTATATTTCTACCAGGTAGTGTCTGGCAGCTCCAACTCTGAACTTTGTGATTTGCAGTCCAGTGCTTATCATATGAATCTACCAAGCTCACAGGTTTTAGGGTAAGTGGCCAATGTTAACTAAAATAAAAGCAATTTCAAAGAACTTAAAGTTATATTGTTGTGGTTAAATGCCGTCGAGTCGGTTCCGACCCATAGCGACCCTGAACAGGGTTTCCGAGGCTGTAAATCTTATGGGAGCAGAAAGCCTCATCTTTTAAATGCATTATCAAAACCTAATGTTTCTAATATACTGTGCTTTTAATTTATGCCATCTCCAAATATCACCCAGCAGGAAATAATATTCCCCTGTAATCACACAAGACAGAAATGTGTAAAGGGTATTGCAGCAACCACACCACAGGTATAGATTTATTGCTAATACATTAATTTCTCCAAACTAAAGCTAAACTACATTTTGTAAGAATTTTCCAGTGGGCACAATTAAAATGGCCCTAAATCTTAAATGGACTCCTGATGTGGAACTGTGGGATAAAGCATTGGAATGCAAGGTCAGTTTGATGTTTCAAACTCAGCAGACACTCTTTGGAAACCCTATGAGTCGCTATGAGTCTGAACTGACTCAACAGCACTTAACAACAACAACTTTCATGATTTTAGAAAACTAAATTAACTATTTGGATTTCCATGTTTATAAAACATCCCCAATATGATCATAATGTACAAATACTAACTTCCCAGGAGACAACTATCTTCTATTTCATTCCAAAATTCTGGCCATTATAAAAAAAAGCATTTTGGCTGATGATATTTAACTAATAATTACATGTAATATATTATGTGTTATAATCATATTCCTATCTTAATTAAAGGAATATAATGGAATAATATTTAGACATTTCCTAGTAACTACTCATTTTAATTTTAAAAGTTTTATATATTTACCAATATATCTTTCACTGACACAAATTCATGTGTAACTACAAAGAATGAGACGCACACACAAACAAACCTACAGGTACACATTTAAAACATAAAGATTTTACCTGTAAATGTTGAATTTGTTGCAGTATCTGAAAATAATCATAAATTACTATTATTGATAATAAAAAATCTTGAACGGAATCTAGATCTCAAGTTGTCTATAAGTCATCTATCTTTTAGTTCTCACAATTTCTAATACTGAAAAATATACAGTGCATGTATTTCTTTGAAGTTCACTGAGATTTAGTTTAAAGATATGTGTTCCTTGTAAGTGACCCTTTGATTATTTCATTCTTTCTGTATTGCTTATCAACATCCACTCCATTTCTTCATTAAAATATTTGGACTGGTTCCTTACTTCCTTAGTCCCCAGAACCTACAAGTAGGTAACGGTACATATACAGTAGAAATACCCTTGCATATCAGCCATTACTCAACCAGCCTGTTACTGGGGATACATTGACAGCATTCATTTTAAAGAAAGACCCAAACAATCACACTAAGATGGGATTGTCCAATGGGACAGAGGAGTCCTCTAATACATTAAGTACCTTCTTCTCTGGTGCCACCCTTGTGGTGCAGTAGTTAAAGTGCTTGGCTGCTAACTGCATGGTTGGCACTTTGAGCCCACCAGTTGTTTCATGGGAAAAAGGTTGACAGTCTGTGTCTATAAAGATTTACTACCTTGGCAATCCTCTGGGTCAGTTCTACTCTATGCTTTAGGATCTCTATGAGTTGGCTGGATAGCCAGTAGTTCCTTAACTTATCTTTTCTAAACAACTAGAATAAAATATAATGACTCACCATTGCACTCCAACTCCCCTGCAATACAATAGCTGAAAGTCAAAAAACACAAGAATGAGGTTGACATTTTGATTCCTAATGACAATGTGTCACATAAATAAAAATAAATAGAAGAAAGACCAAAACAGAACCAAGTAAAAGAGATTTTTCCCCCCTTCAAGATCATACTCTCAATTCATTTTTTCCAGGTACTGTTTCCCTCAGTCATTCCACTTAAAAGTTCTTGAAGCCTAAAAGAATGGTTTGCAAGTTGTAAAGTTAATTCTTAGACTGTCAGTTTCAATGATGAAGTTTTTTGATGGCCACACTGTTCTAATATAACCTCTTTTATTTCATTCCAGTGAACGTTTGAGAGCCTGTAAACATAATCTCCTATTTATAAAATTAAAACTTTGCTTCATCTAAAATTACATAGTGAGTTTTCTGTTCTCTTCTCTGTATTATTAGGTATAAGGTTTTAGCAAGCTGCCCATATTGGTCTGTGGGGTTTCTGCAATACAAAATTATTTACATAACTGACATAAACTGTACCTAAATCTGGACTTCTCATTTAGAAAGGACAGGGTAAGAATTTATATATATGGAAGTTGTGAGGGTTTTCATTTTTATATGAGGGTAATAAATATTGTTGTTGTTAAGTGCTGTTGTATCAGTTCTGACTCACAGAGACCCTGTATAGGGTTTCTGATGAGTGGCTGGTGAGTTTGAACTGCCAAGCCTTATAGTTAGTAGTCCAGAGCTGACCCTATAGCATCACCACAGGACTTGTTTTATATATATATATGAATATATGAAGGGGTTTCAAAAAATTTAGGGAAAAATTCTATTATCTTTTAAACTTTAGCTAAATAGATAGATAAAGATAAAGACAGACAGATACGGAGCCCTGCTAGCATAGCTGATTACAAGCTGGGCTGCTAACTGAAAGGTCAGAAGTTCAACTCTACCAGAAAGTCTCAAAGATGAGGCTTTCTGCTTCTGTAAAGATTTATAGCCTTAGAAACCCTATACAGGATCACTGTGAGTCAGAACTGACTAGATGACACACAACAGCCACCATGTATATACACATGGCGTTCTGGTGTGGCACTACAAGATAAGCACTCAACCACAAGGTTGGTTTGAGCCTCAAGGTTGGTGAAACAGACTCACCAGCCACTCCTTGGAAATGTATACAGGGTCACTATGAGTTCGAACCAACTTGACGACATTTAACAATAATAGTATATGACTATATCTGTATCTTTATCAATATCTACACACACACACACTCACACACACTCAAGCGTAATTCTAAATGAAAATAAAACAAATCCAATTGCTTATTGGAAATTTAGAAGGGCATATACCATGTTCTTCCACAATTGTCTTGGATAACTCCCCCAGCTGGTATGATATCATTATAGAAGCAGCTGCATTCTGATGAACTGACGCATTTCATCGTGTTTTCGTCCAAATAGGGAGCACTCTCTGGGCACTTAGCATAGCAACCTGTATGTAAAATGACCCACAGTTCAGCTCTACTTTACTGAAACTCATCGTCCTATACTATACTATAGATGACTACTCATATGTATCAAGCATTACCAGTCTTTGAAAATATCTAGGCAGCATTCATTTTGAAGGGTGACCAAAACAATCATACTGAGAGGGATATGACTATATATTTTTTTAAGTTACATGATTTCAAGAACTGATGTAGATAATAGCAAGGTAACATACTCATAATGAAAATATATGAACAAAACAGGAGTCAGAGGCTTCTGCAATGAAAGGCCAGCCTGTGTTTACTAATTTTGACTGTTTGCATGTTTTCCTAAAATGTCTCCTAAACTACTTTTTAGATGAATTGCTGGTTTAATTATGGGTACAGTATTGAACATAATATGTCTTTGATAAATATGTAAATAATAATTAAAAAGTTGAAAGTCAATTCTAAATATCTAATTATTGAAAGGTAGATGAAGCTAGAAAAGTCGTAGCAAAATAGTCTGTAACTTTCCAAAGCCAAGGTTTAACACAGATATGACCTCTGGAAAGTTTTTGCATCAGCTTGTTTTCTTGACACTAATTACATTCTCTCTTAAAATATATAATATTAAAAGAGGAAAAAATGCTGTGAAGTGTGGGATATAGCTAATTAGACTCTATTCAGGTGAGACTTTATGATATGTTACTTGCTGAAACTGCATTCTCTCCAAACTGCGTTGCCTAATGAGAGGTATAAAGATTGACAGATCACCTCTCTCTCTCTCTCCTTTTCTCTTACTTGCCCTTGCTCTCTCTCTTTTTTCTCTTTCCCTTGCTTTTATTAAACAGATCATTTATATCTAAAGAAAATGCTCCTAGTATAGTGATATAAATGTCATAATAAATATAACAACTTCATTAAATTACAAAGTGTAAGATACCGAAGTGAGAGAAACGTATAACATTTCCCATTCTTAAAAGATCAATATTGTTTACACTGCTTCATATATATTATTAAAATACACCTTACCTTCTAAAAGTGCAGAAAATTTCTGTCCAATGACCCGATCTTTGCATGTTTTTGCAGTGACTGTCCCACAGGGCTCATAATGCCAGTTGCATTCCCCAGGTGCATTGTAGTAATCACAGTACACAGCTGCAATGGAATGATAGCAAATGATTCCCACTCATTCTACGACAATTTTCAACCTTCATTTTCAAATGCAGGCATTTAAAAAATGATTTTGAATGATATTAGTAATAAGCAGAGTTAAAGTAAACTGTTCTGTCTTATTTAAAAAGTTTTTGGTTGTGTTACCTAAATTACCTAATAAGTCAAAATTTTTCTACATTTGAATCTGGGCAGATTCACCCAGAAAAGGGAAACATAGAGAATTCAGAATAGCGCTTTCCTTTGACACCACAGACTTAAGTGAGCTTGATGTGGAAATGTTAACAATTTTCCCATCTTGAGATTCTTTAGATCTTAAACTAGATTCCTGACTTTAATATTAAAACAGAAATAGGTAAAATAAGCCTCTGGGAAAATTATGCTTATTTAATATGTTAAAAAGTAATCCCCAAATGAGGTAAACAAAGGTTTCAGTTTGATATAATGCTTTGCATACTAAATCAAATAAAATGAGATTTTTATTTGGGCACTTCCCATTTCATTATATTTTCTCTCAGAATGCCTTCCTTTGGGGTGAAAAGAGTCACATGATTTCTATAAAGGTTATTACATTCTACATATATAAAGATTTTGTTTATATTCAATTTAAGGTTCATCTTCAATGGGGCTCTATAAAAGTTTTTAATACGAAATATGTGTAAGAACTTGAACCAAAAATCCTATGTAAAGTACACATTTAGGGATGTGTGAGTGTACCAAGGTAGATAAATACCTCATTTAAGTATAAATCTAAGTATAAACAAATAGTTCATCTAAGTATAAATAAATAAGAAGTATTTTCCATTAGCATTCTATACTTACTTCTTATAAACACAAGGATGGTGAAAATGAAAACTGAACTTGAAGCTCTGTGTCACATGCTGTCCTATTAGTATGGGTACCCCCCCCCCAACTCCACCTAATTCTGCTTTAAAGAATTTATTAATATATTTTTACACCCTTTCAGGTCCAAGAACAAATACTGTACAGAAAATATGGAAGACACATTGGTGATCTACCATATCAATTCTATCTAATTACTTTTTTATTAAGGAACAATGATATAGTTTACTTACGGCAGAGATTTGGCTTTCTCCATGGGATACAGACACCAACTGCGCTGCATGCCTCTGCATACATAGCGACAGCAGTGCAATATCCAAGATACTTTCCTTCCATGTCACATGCACAGGCTTCTTCAATACAAGCATCATAGTAAGCAATGGGATCAACCTAGGCCGAGAATAGAACGTAAGTCTCTGGGAGAAAAATCTGTGCAAGTCATTGCTTTCAGAACAGTGCTACCTTGTTGTGGCAGTCTCTGAAGGTGACGTCCCGGATTATCTCACATTTCTGTACAGCCCAGGCTTTGCAGTATGGATTTGAATCACATGGGAAAGTTTGAGCTACTGTGTCTGAACATTCTTGACTTGTTTTCCAACTATTTCCAAATTCCAGTGGTCCAGCAGCTAATGATGAATATCTAGTTGTGAAATCATCCTTAAGATCCCCATTGTTATTTCCACAAAGACCACAGACTTTGCCCTGTATAGATCCAAAAGGGAAACTTTTTAAAAAATTAAAGTTTGGTATTTATTTTGAATAAAATTAAGTCCTTTATCTCACAACTATTGATAAATAGATAGATAGATAGATAGATAGATAGATAGATAGATAGATAGATAGATAGATAGAAATACTAGAAAGATAGATGACAGATGTTGTTACTGTTAGTTGCCACTGAGTCATCTCTAACTTTTGGAGACCTTTTATATAACAAAACAAAACAGTGTGTGGTACAGGGTCATCCTCACAATCATTCTTATGTTTGAGTTCATCATTGCAGTCACAAGTCAATTCATATCATAGAGGAGTTCTAGATGTTGCGGACTCTTTACCAAATGTGATGCCTTTTCTAGAGACTGGTCTTTCTTGATGCTATATCTAACATGAGCAAGACAAAGTCTTATTATCTTCATTTCTAAGGCGCATTCTGTTTGTACTTCCTCCAAGATGGATTTGTTAGTTCTTTGGTAATCAAAGGTATATTCAATATTCTTTATCAATACCACAATTCAAATGCACAAATTTTCCTTCCATCTTCTTTTCTCATTGTCCAGCTTTTACATGAGTAAGAGATGACTAAAAAGATCATGGCTTGAGTCAGGAGTCTGTTAATCATCAAAGTGACATCTTTGCTTTTTAACACTTCAAACCAGTGTTTTGTAGCAGACTTTCCCAATGCAATATGCTGTTCAATTTCTTCATTGCTGCTTCCATGGGCATAAATTGCTGATTCAAGTAGAATCACAACTTCAATTTCTTCACCATTTATCATGGCGCTATTTATTGGTCCAGTCTTGAGTGTTTTCTTTATGTTAAGGTGTATTCCAAGTTGAAAGCTGTAGTCTTTGGCCTTCATCAGTAAGTGATTCAAGTTGCCTTCACTTTCAGTAAGCAAGTTTGTATCATCTGCATATTGTAGGCTGTTAAGAGTCTTCCTCTAATCCTGACTCCGTGTTCTTCATATAATCTGGCTTCTCAGATTATTTGTTCAGCATAGAGTTTGAAAAACACCACTCCACTACATAACTTTTTAGTAACCCCTTGTTCTGTTTGTAAGATTTTTTCTTAACCTTGATAGACAGACCAACAGACAGACAGACAGACAGACAGACAGATAGATAGATAGATAGAGATAAAAGATAAAGATATCACAATTTCTTACTGTATCATGAGTCTATTTTAAATTCTAAATTTTGGGAAGAAACCAGAATTCCTGGATAAGATTCTATTCTCATTTAATCTGGTATCCTATGTTGCAAAATTATCTAGTATCAAGTAAAATTAAGAAATAAGAAATAATTATATTAGCTAGCTTTAAATTATATATATTCAGACTCTAGTATTTTAGAATATTTTCTCTGTGGAATACACTAAATTTCATATATACCAACTACTTCTAAATCATACCATGTGATAACCACAAATAATCAAATATGGTTATACCACAATAATTTAATTTGACTACATTTTTATTAGAATCTCTTATCTTTGTATAACTATTATATTTCTAAGCTTAAGTGAAGGTGAAAGGTTTGTTACTATATCAGTAATCTGCCATTCACCACCCTCCCACTCACTACCTTTGAACACCCATCTTTAATTTTTAATAAAAGAAATGATTTTGCTTCCCCATTAATCGCTTATTAGTAATGTACATACATTCCAGCGTGGATCCAATATAGCAGAGATTCTTGTATTTTTGTCCCAAATCAGAGTTATTCCAGATACAAATTTCAGAATCAAGTACAAACCAACGGTATGAATGGAATATGTGTTTTCACTGATTCCACATTCCTTACTTTCTGCAGTTTTGACTGCTGTAACTTTACCATCTTGCAAAACAACATTCTGGTTCTATAAATAAAAAGAATTGAAAAGAATCACTAAAATAACATCTGTTTTATTTGACTTTTCTTAATCTGCATGAAAAAAAAAGAAATAAATAGAAATTGTTCTGTACCTTAAAAGCAACTACAATTTTTCTTGAGCATGTAAGCCCATCTTCACAGCAAGGGACACTTTCAGTTAAAACACGGAATGTGCCGTTTTCACTGCCACAATAGTCCTTAAAAATGAAATTATAATAATAGTTTATGAACAAGGAGGACCTGGAACTCAATTGCAATATTTGTATCAAAAAACATTTCCTAGAGGGTGAAATTTTAAATTCAGCAAATCATCTTGTGCTATGTTATGGAACCTCTAAAAGACAATGAATTCATAGGTAAGGCCTCAGCTGAATACAATTTACTTAACTTCCTTGGATGCAGCCCTTTTCTCATTACTTAATTCACATGTTCATAATTATTACTTGTTGTTAAGTGCTGTCTAATCAGTTCTAGGAGTACTGGTGTGGCACTGCAGATTAATGTACTGGACTGCAAGGTAGGTTTGAACCACAAGGTCAGCAGTTTAAGTGCATTAGCTGCTCCTCCTATGCAGGGTCGCTATGAGTCAGAACCAACTCGATGGCACATAGCAACAACAAAGTCAGTTCCAATTCACAGCAAGCCTGTATAACCTTGTGGTTAACAGTCCAATGCTTATCCTACAGCATCACGCCAGAACTCCAATTATACTATAGATATAAAAATATTTTGGAGTCCTGGTGTGAATAAGCACAGGACCACAAGGTCAATTTGAACCACAAGGCCAGTGGTTCAAATCTACCAGTCGCTCCTCGGAAATTCTATTAATTGGAACCTACTCCATGGTACTTAAGAACTTAACAACAACCTATTAAGAAATATAAATATTTTATGTTTGAACTTAAAGATATATGTCTAAAATCTGTAAATACCTAGAGAAAGGTGGCTTCCTTCTTTAGAGATTTATATTAAACTTGATTTCATTCAAAGCTAAAACTCACAAAACAATATAAAATTTTCTCAGTAAGTATTGCTTGGAAAGCACCTTAGTTGTATGTAACAATCATGAAGATCTAGAATTGACATTTTCCATTTACTAATAGCTTAACCTCTCTAAGTATTCATTTCTCCTCTGTATAGGAACAATAGGAACAATAATACCAGTATTGTAGTGTTACAATGATTAAGTACAATAAACCGTGTAAATCACTGGCACAGTAAGTACTCATAGATAGTAATTGTTATTGGTGTTGCTAGTGCTAGTCAGATAAGAATAATATTTCACATCAGTTGAGGACTTACTGGGCACTCCAGTGTTTGCTCTAATTTCAAATTCCGTTTTTGTTAAGTGGAGTCAGTTTTGATTTACAGTGACCTTGTGTAGGGTTTCTGAGGCTGTGAATCTTTTTCGGGAACAGAAACCCTATCTTTCTCCCTCAGAGTGACTGGTGGGCTAGAACCACCAACCTTGTAGTTTGTAGTCCAATGCGGAGCTACCATGCTCCCAAATTTCAAGTGGTGAGGGTGGTTATGTGCCGCGGAGTCTGTTCCGACTCATAGTGACCCTGTACAGGGTTTCCGGGGCTGGAACTCTTTACAAGAGCAGAAAGCCTCACTGGGAGCTGCTGACCTTGAGGTTAGCAGCTCGACTTGTAACCACTATGCTAGCAGCGCTCCTTAAATTTCAACAAGGGGCTATTATTATCCCCCATTTTACAAACATAGAAACTGAGACACAGAGAGGTTAAAAAATGTGCCCAAAGTCACACAGCTGATAAACATAGGGCCAGGGTTCAAATCTACACCTCCATAGCATTATGTTGTGGTACATTTTACTGCTTTCTCTATAGATTTGCTTTGTTAATTCCCTATTCCGAGAATAAAATTCTGCAGCACTCATCTACAAGTAATAATTAAGAAATATGAAAAACGATAATAAAACATACGTCCAATTACCTCAAGAAAGGAATACTGGCAGAGACCATCAAAGCTATAACTTTTTCCATCAAAAGTTATAACATGACCTTCCCCATACACGTGGCAAGTGTTTTGACATTCATTTTGTGTACAGTTCCATGATCCTTTTCTGCAAGTACTAAAGGAAAGAAAAAAAAGTGGTAATTAAAGTATGCCAATATTTATATACTCATATGATTTTTGTAAAGCAGCACAAATTGTTTTATACATTACATGTTGATTTTACAACAAAAATACATGTTGATTTACATTTTAGAATTATCTTTATTATAATGTCTTATGATCATTATATTCTGGTAGAATAGTGGTTATGAGTCGGACTGCGAATCTGAAGGTCATCAGTTCGAAACTACTAGCTATTCTGTGGGAGAAAGATGAGGCTTTCTGCTCCCATAAAAATTTACAGCTTTGGAAGCCCTATGTGGGGTCGCTATGAGTCGGAACATACTCCACAGCACACCACTACCACTAATATATTTTTTTAACTATAAAAACAATAGCAAGTTTTAACATTTAACCATGATTTTCCCAAATATCACCAAGTGTAACTAACTTTTTTCCTGTAAAAATAGCAGACTGTACATTTTCCAATATGCAAAACTAATAAAATATTCATCTTTTAATATGTACCATTTATTACATCCAACTGAAGTAACACTTCCTTGTTCATATTCTTGTCCACCAAAAGAGCATGGGCAGTCATCAGGAAACACACATTGCCCTTTGGAATTTCGAACCATTCCCACTGGACAATAGCACCCACGTTTGCAAGGCAAGTTCTCCTATAGGAAGAAACATAAATACATGCCATGAAGCTATAATCACATAATGCTATGTACATTTATGTACAATACATAAATATAACTAGTGTACATTACAATTAAGAAGTTAGAATTATATACAATAAATTAAATGACATTTATTTAATTTTTGTTTCACTGAAGTTTCTGTTTCCTTCTATTCTGCAATAAAGTTTTCTAAAATCTAAATTCTAATGCCATGTTAAAAACCACCATTTGCTGTCGAGTCAATTCTGGCTCATTGTTGTTGTTAGGTGTCATTGAGTTGGTTCCAATTCATAGCGATCCTATGCACAACAGAATGAAACACTGCCCGGTCCTGTGCCGTTCTCACAATTGTTTTGTTTTGTTTTCCTGAGACCATTGTTGCTGCCACTGTGCCAATCCATCTAGTTGGTGTCTTCTTTTTTGCTAACCCTCCACTTTTCCAAGGATGACGTCCTTCTCCAGGAATTGTTCCCTCCTGATAATATGTCCAAGGTATAGAGACGAAGTCTCACCATCTTGGTTTCTAAGGAGCATTCTAGCTGTACTTCTTCCAACATAGATTTGTTTGTCCTTCTGGGAATCCATAGTACTTTTAATATTCTTCTCCAACACCAAAATTCAAATACATCAATTCTACAGTCTTCCTTATTCATTGTCCAAATGGTGCAGAGTAGAACTGCACTTCATAGAGTATTCATCACTTTGCTCTTGCTAAAATTGTTTGCTGGGCCTTATACATGGAGTCCTGGTGTGGCATTGTAGGATAAGCAGTTGACTGCTCACTGTAAAATTGGAGTGCAAACCCACAGGCACTCCTTGGAAACCCTGAAGAGTCACTATGAGTCCAAACGAACTCCATGGCACTTAACAACAACAATACTTCTGAAGGAGTTCTGGTGTGATGCTGTAGGATATACACTGGATGGCTAATCACAAGATTAGCAGCTCAAAACCACCAGCTACTCATTGGAAACCCTATCCTTGGTCGCTGTGAGTTGGAACCAACTCGACAGCATTTAATATAAGTATACTTCTAAAGAATCCTTGCTGGAACTATAGAGTAAGCACTGGACTGCAAACCACAAGTTCAGCAGTTCAAACCCACCAGCTGCTTCATGACAGAAAGATAAGACTTTCTGCTCCCTGGAAGGGTGATAGGATCAAGATGAGTTGGAAGTGATTCTATGACACCTACAAACAACAATACTACTTCTGAAATGCCTCCGAATGGCTACCACCAAACTTGCTTCATAGCCATGCAAGTAACCATTTTTACACATAGGGATTTAACTGTGTGCACCTCATAAGGACTCCAATATCATGCTACTTACATCAAAAGTAGGTATGTTCCGAGTGCTACATGTTGTATCAGTTCTTCTCTGTGCCTTGGGATCAGTACAGTCTACATATTCAGCCCCACCTGAACAGTTCTCTACAGGATAAAGGAGGTTGTTGTTAATTAAGAGCCTCTTAATTTATTTATTTTTACCCAAGTAGTTATTTTAATTTTGTGCCATGATTTCAATACTTACGTAGGGTTATATCAAGGGGAGTTTGGCAAAGAAGAATTCCATTGCGACAGACACTGGAAATAAAGGGAAAAGTTACATTTAAACATCAAATTTCAAGAACAAGCTCTTATAACACTATTACTGCAACCCTATACAGGGTTGCTATGAGTTAGAACCAACTCAATGATACTTAACAACAACAAAGGGTAAACACATATTAACTTGGGTGAAGGAAAAGACAAATTAAAAACTAAGTAAAATAAAAAGCAAGCTAAATCTGTCAGTTGAGCAGGAGATAGATGAATCAAATAAGTGACTACAATGGTAAAAAAAAAACAAAACCAAAAAACAACATTCATTGTTAAATGATAGATTCGTGGACCCAGACAAAAAGGAAAGGTCCATCTGAAAACATTTTAAACAGGGATTTCATCTCTTCAGTGTGTAGAATTCCTATTTGTCTCGATGGATTAAATATGTTGACAAATCCAGCCCATCAGGACAAACCCCCTTCTAAGTCTGAAACGCCATGGGGAATACATAAGCAGACTTGTAAGCTTGCTGGTAATTGCCTCGGTCTACTTGTGAATGGAAATGGGGGAAAGACAGCAATGAAGACATGGGCTGAGTTCGACCATGTTCCATAGACTCCCATCGAACTTGAGATGAGAGAGAGAAGAGGACAGATTGGTTGGTCCAAAGTTTAGAGAGACCTGGGAACTCCTGAACCCCTGGACTCTGGCCTAGCCAATGGGGGCTCAAGTGATAGTAGAGTAGTCAGCTGATCTGAAGTGAGGGGAAGCATACAAGAACACCCAAACTAGCAGATAGTACCCATTTGAATTAGCTTGGATGACTTGCTGATCAGAACTCGACTAGAGGAAAATAAAGAAGTTTGATTCAGGAAGCACGTGTAAATTGCTACAATTTGGTAAACTTGACCTTTGCTTATGGATATAGTTGCTCAAAATTCCAACTAAGAGGAAGGGCAACTTCACATCAATGATCAAGCCTGTATCCTCAGTACACAGGGTTGATAGGGACAGGCAACTTAGACGTTAGCTAACAAAAATGGGGGCTATAAAGGCACGTAATGGCTGCCTTACAAGTTTTCAAGAGTGTGCTTAGTTTCAGAGTGAGGGGGCAGTGTTGAATCCCCATTGAATCGTTTTCTTCTTGTCTAGGTGGGTCTGGTGAAAGGGGATGGGAGAGGATAGGGATAGGATTCTTTTGGATCAGTAGAAAGTAATTGTTATCATAACCAATGCAATTGTTACAACTGTAAAGGTAGATGTGTAACAAAAAGGGAGGAGTAGTTAATCTTTCAATCCAGGAACAGAGGACCCTAGGACCATCAAGACGGAGGAGCATGAGGAAAGCATGGGATCCTAACCAGAGAAGAAGCGACACCAGAGACGGAAGCAGAGGTGATGGCACAGAGAGACTGAGCAGCTGAGGACTCTAGACCCAATCCTATGCAAAAGCTCATGTAGGAAATACGTCTGGCATTTCCTACATTGTTGTTGTTGTTAAGTACCATGGAGTTGGTTCCGACTCATAGTAACCCTACACAGGGTTTCGAAGGCTGCCAATCTTTCCGGGAGCAGAAAACCTCACCTTTCTCCCACAGAACAGCTGGTAGTTTCGAACTGCAGACCTTGAGGTTAGCAGCCCGATTCATAACCACTACACTACCAGAGCTCCTTATTTAGCACATTCTATTTTATTCTATGGGAAAACTCCTCTAAATAGTTTGTTTGTTTTCTGGAGAAAGATTCATTCATGTTCTAAAGTACCATCAAGTTGGTTCCGACTCACAGCAACCCTGTATAGCATTTCGAAGGAGTGGCTGGTGGATTTGAACCACCAACCTTGATAGGGTTAGAAGTTCAGTATCTTTGCTACAGCACCACATCATGGCTCATTCTATAGTATGATGCAAATACTGATTTCCTCTGTGAAATTTTCTTTTATCTCCTCAAGTAAAGACTGGTCCTTTTTCTGCCATATTATGGTATACAAATTTCCATTACAATAATCAGCATATCTCCTAGATTGTTGGTCCAAGACAATGTTCATTCATCATTGTAACTCCAGTATTCAGAACAAGGTGCCTAAATCAGTAATTAATTATATATACTTGAGAGAAAGTATTGTTCAATATGAAATTAGTTTGCATTTTCTGTATGTAAGAACTGCCAGAATATTTTTCTATTAGCATTCCAAACCAAATCAGAGTGGGATAAGTCAGCTATTATAGCTATTCTGAAGTAGGGAGCTCTCCAGGTTTAAGGAGATAATAACTAACTGGTGTGGCACTGTGGGTTGGTGTGCTGGACTGCAAAGCCAGTTTGAACCACAAGGTTGGTGGTTCAAGCTCACCAGCTACCCCTCGGAAACCCTAGACAGAGTCGCTATGGGTCAGAACTGACTCAACGGCACTTAACAACAAACAACATAAGAAATCAAAAGTAAAAAATATGTGAGGAATAATGAAAGCTGAGATAAGGAAGGGTGACTAAGGATAGAGCACTGGTGGCACCGTAGGATGAGCACTGGACTGCTAACCACAAGGTCAGCAGTTCAAATCCACCAGCTGCTCTGTTGGAGAAAGACTTCCTGCTTCCACAAAGATTTACAGCCTCAGAAACTCTATGGGCCACTATGAGTTGAAGCTAACTCTATGGCACTAAACAACAGAGAAGGCTTCAGAAGTTCAGGAGGTTCAATGGTTGAGTACTCAGCTGCTAACTGCAAGGTCATTGGTTTTAACCAACCAGTCACTCCTTTAGAGAAAAGACCAGGTGCTCTGCTCCTGTAATAGACTGGTGATGGTGGTTATGTGCCGTGGAGTGGGTTCTGAATCATAGCGACACAGCATAAGGTTTCCAAGACTGTAAATCATTACAGAAGCAAAATGTCTCATCTTTTTCCCACAGGACATCTGGTAGTTTCGAACTGCTGACCTTAAGGTTAGCAGCCCAACTGTAATAGACTAAAGGACCATAAAATCCTCAGTATCCATGACCCTGAGATCAAGAAGCACTAGATGGTGCCCATCCACCACTATCAACAACTCTACAAGGGATAACATTGGAAGGTTGTAGACAGAGTGGGAAAAAATATGGAACATGACTCAAAATCATTAAAAAGACTAAGCTTCCTAATCTGATTGAGAGTGGGGACTGTGGCCCTTAGTTCCCTTTAGGACAGGACCTGAACTCATGCCTGTGGCTTCATTTTCAGTCAAACAATAGTGAGGTCCCTAGGTGACCAGTAACACGAGGGAAGTATGAACTCCTTAGAATAGTCAACCATTTGACATAAAAAAGCGTAGCATTTACCTAAGGACAAAGTTCAGAAAGCAAGAAGGGTTAGAAAATGAGGAGGAATAGAAACAGGGAACATAGGGAGAAAGTGGAGTAAGCAATAAATATTCCATTGTGAGGAGAGCAACCAATATATGAAACAAAATATGCATGAATTATTGAATGGAAAACCAATTGGCTTTGTCCATCTTCACCCAGTACATCAAAAGAATTTAAAAAGAAGAGATTGCAGCCTAGAAAACCTTATGGGTCAGCTCAATTCTGTTCTTTGTCATCACAAAATTGACTCAGTGGCACACAACAGAAACAAGGAAGTTCTGTACTGGCAAAAAAACTATTCTTTGTAAAAGGATACAGTGCCTTAATTTCAGTACCATAGCAAGTATATAGTACTGTTTCTATATAGGATCCATACCATTTATTGTCATCAATATGGATGAGTTTGCCTGGCTGCAATACTTCATCATTGATATAGCAGTCACACTGAGATTTCTGAACACATTTTCCTTCATTATTTTGGTACATTCCATCAGGGCAGGCACAGCCATCAACTGGAACATCTTGGACATCACAGCTCCTATCTCTCTCTGACAATGATCGGCAAGAACTGTTGCAGGCTTTGACATTGTACTTGAAAACTAGGCCACTTGGACAAGAGTGTTCTGTTATTATAGAAAATAAAATACAGTGAATAGGTATATGTTCAGGGAATTTTCCTTCTTTATTTCAACTTGATGTTTATCAATATTAGTGTCTTTTACAGAATTGAGTTTATTTATTTTAAATGGTGCTTCTTATTTATAGGTTCTTGCATTCATTTTTTTTCAGTCAATATCTAATCCTACTATATTTCTATTTTCCTGGGGATAAAACTCATAAACATAATGGGCAAAATAATTCTTTAACATGGATTTCAGTCCTAAGAGGAAAGAAAAATGCAGTTAAGTGCTACAAAAATATAACATGAGAAGTCTTAAGTGTATATAACTGGGGTTATTCACTTCATGAGAAGATGTATAGAAGGAGAGTCATAAAATAGTCCCGATAGAGGCAATACTATGTGCAAGCAGGAAATGGAAAGCATTTTTTCAAATATGTGCAAGTAGAAGATAGCAGCTGTGAGCCTAGAGATGAAATCAATGGTTAAATCTTGTAGGGAGATTTTGCAGTTTGGTCTTTAACCTTAGATCAATGAAGTCATTGAATTGTTTTACTGGAGCATCACATGATCGGATTAGTCTGATTTTGTTTTACTTTAAATCTTACTATTTAGGAAATAGGTTAGTGGGAGCCAACAATGGATATTGAGGAGGCCATTGCAATCAATCAGGAGAAAAAGGATGGTCTTGAAACTAGCTAATGACAATAGAGATGGAGAGATATAAATGGATTTGAGATGGATTTTGGAGATTAATATGGCAGATCTTGTTGATGGACTGGACATGGGGTATAAGGTGCTAAAAATAATTTATTAGAGATGCATTGCAATACATATATTTAAAGCTAGGCAGGGATTTACATCAGCTCTTGATGGTTGAGTCCCTAATTTACTTCTCTTTTCTTATAACATAAGTACCTTATTTGGTTTATCTCAAAATAAGGTACTAATATTAGAATAGCATTTGAAAATGCATTGGCAGTCAGAATATTATTTAAATTTCAGCATAGCATAGCATATATAGACACAGGCATAGATAAATATATTCCTATTCTTTTTTATGTTTGACTCTATTAAAATAAGATGAAAGAAATAAATCAAGATACAATAATTATTCAAGTATATTTTTAAAATATTTAGGAGAACATCTTTGGAAAAAAAAACAAAAAACAAATAAAGATTTATTAACACACATAACTGAACCACACACACACACACACATACACACAAGGTTACACATACGAATACGCATACGGAGAAGGAGGTAGAGTAATCTGAAACCTCTATTCTCTTACCACATTGTCCAGTCCTCCATCCCACTATGGCTGTTTCCTTCTCAGCGCATGCTTTCACATAGTTGCCTAACATTGCACACAGACAATCTTCACTATTTTCACAACTGCAAGTATATTTTTTGCATTCCTTTAAAATAAGAATCAAATTTATATTTAATTATAGAAATATTAATAAGAACAGGTAAGCTGGGTATAATTATTCAATTCAAAACCACTCTTCTATCCTGAAAAAAATCTTTGATATCTTTTGGAACTATTTTTCTACAAAAATTTACAAAATAGAAGCATGATAATTAACCTAGTTGTCAAACAATTTAGAAAATATGAGTGTAACTTGTTCAAGAATATTGTTATTTTCAGGTTATTTTAAATATTGCCTTTTTTTTTTTTTTAAGTTGGGATGTCTAACAATTGAATAAATGAGATAATATAAAGTTAAATTTAAACATATACATTAATATATTGACAGTAGATGTTATCTTATTGATACCATACAAATTGTTTCTTAAAAGTAGTGATTACACCCTCACATACCTCAAGATAGGGTTTAGGATTCACAATAGGATGGCATGAAGCAAAGGGCCCAGCTGGATCAAGAAGAATTGCACAATGCTTATCAGCAAATTTTTCTGAAAGAAATTAATACAAACAAAATAATTTTAATAATGTAATATTTAAATTGGAAAATGTATATTTATAACAGAGCTTTAACTTTATTGACTAAAATAATTAGAAGCATAAAGTGCTTTACTAAAATAAATAAAATTTCTATTACTATGTTCAAAAAGAGCATGATATAATCAGAAATACCTTGTAATATTAGGGGCAAAGTACTAGCTCTCGCCATGAGTTGAATCAGCTACCTACTCTCTGAAATGAAATTTCTACATAAAATATGAAGAAGTAGAGACATTTCTTTAAGTGATTTTTTAACTTTAAGGACTATTGTTGTTGTCGTTAAGTGCCACTGAGTCAGCTCCAACCCATAGTGACCCTGTTTCTGAGGAGTGACTGGTGAACTTGAACATTCGACCTTGCAGTTCCAACTGATCTTGCAGTCTAGTGATTTAACTCACAGAGCAACAGCTACACCAGGGTGCCTATTCATGTTTAATTTTCACAGATTCCTAAGGGAAGACTCGACAGCTTTTTTTGTTTTGTTTTCTTCCCAGAAAGGTGATACAAGTTTTTCTGAAGGTCATACATTAAGACCACAATCAATAATTCATACACATTAATTTTTTAAGCTTTTTTTATTTGATATTTGCTTAATTTATAAATAACTAGTCGAAGTAAGTATTAAGTCAACAGAAAATAAAATTCACACATATAGCATCTTGAATAGCAAATGCTTGGTTCCCAAATGCTTACAGTTGATCACCATGACTAAGGGACAAACATCTTTAAAAATGTTTTCAATAATCTATTCATTGATTTTAAAATTTTTAAACTTTTCTAATAATTTGTTTATTCAGTTTATATTTTCTACTTAGATAATTATATCATATACAACCATTAAATATCTTTTCTCTTCTATCTGATGTATAGAACCTTTAATACTATGTTAAATAACTATAACAATAAAGGACATGCTATACTTTGTTTGGAGCTCTGGTAGCATAGTGGTTACAAAACGAGCTGCGAACCTTAACGCCAGCAGTTCGAAACTACCAGCCGCTCTGCGGGAGAAAGATGAGGCCTCGGAAACCCTGTACAGGGTCGCTATGGGTCGGAACTGACTCGATGGCACTTAACAACAACAATACTTTGTTTGGAGCCTTGGTAGTGTAGGGATTAGGAGCTGGACTGCTAATCACAAGGTCAATAGTTCGAGTTTACAAGTTGTTCCATGAGAGAAAGATGAGGCTTTCTGCTCCCTTAAAGATTTATAGTCTCAGAAACTCTATACAGGGTCTCTGTGAATCAAACTGACATGGTTATACACAACCACCACCATCTTTTGCTTAATCTGAAAATGTATCATGTTTTTTTCACAAATATGATTGCTATAAGATTGTGCAGTTTATGATCTTTTCCATCGGGTGAAATTTAACTCTTTGTATACATTGACTAAGTTGAATTAAGTTGAAATTTTATGAATTTCCTTCTTTATTCTACTGAAAAGTTAATGGCATAATAGATTTCTGACACTGACCATCATTATATTTCTAGATTAAATTTATTTGATCAAAGTGAATCTCATCATGGATAAAACTGTGTCCATTTCTTCCCTAGTACTACCTCTGTAGTTGGACCTGGAAAAAAGGATGCATCCACTTCATAAAACGATCTGGAAAAATTTTGTTCCTTTCTGTTTTCTAGAATAATATGTATAAGATAGGAGTGATCTCTTCAGTGTAGTTTAGTAGGATTCATTCATCTATGTTGTTATCAGAACAGGGTATTGACTGATTTAAAATATTAATATCCCCAGAAAGCAATAAATTTTGAAAAAAGACACCGAGGTCAATCATTTATAAAATTTTGACTTACTGCTTTTACATGTATTACTACATTATGCACAGGTTAACAACTGCTTTTTAAAACGCAGTTTAATTTTCTGTATTTCATTTTATTAAATTAAATGTAAACTATTGAAATGTATATATGTGTGTGTGTATGTATATATATATACATACATACATATACACACAGACACACCATATAGTCTAACAATTCAATTGGTTTCTCATGAGATGTCCATTCTTTCTGCCTATTCTCTTTCCCATTGTGTTTTTATTGCAATATTCCAATGATAAATTATACACAGTCAATTACTATGTTTTTTTCTAATGTCGCTATTGAATGATTTTAAAAATTAAAATGAATGAAACTTTCAAAAGTAATTTTAAATTTTATTATAAGTTGTTCATTGTTGTTAAGTGTCATCGAGTCAGTTCTGACTCATAGCGACCCTGTATAGGGTTTCCAAGCAGCAGCTGGTGGGTTTGAACTGCTGATCTTGTGATTAGCAGCCCAATGTTTATTCTACAGTGTCACACAAGGACTTCAACAGTATGAAGTTGATAATATTATTTCTTTAAAATGTGTGGATTAATTTAGAAAAACCAATATATCGACAAAACGTATTTTAATTTAGCTTCTACTGAATATCTTATTTTGAAAGAAACAATGTAAAATAAAGGCTTCAATAAAACCCATAGTATCTGAGGATCAATTAAGCAAATACTTGGATTCAAAAATACCTGGATGGCCTCATGATCTCTGGTCCTTATTAAGAATACTCTCTGGTCCCCATTATCAATGTCTGCATTAATAGTGGCACATACCTTTGTCCTCCATGAATTTTTGTAGGAATGGATTGAACTTTCACATGTGAAATTATTTGATAATCTAATATTATTAATAAGATCTATTTTCAGTGCTTGGTATAACCGATATACATAATAGCAATGCTTAGGAGGCCTAGATCTAGCTACTCTTCTGCCATTAATTGGGTCTTTTTATTTGATCAATGATTATTTCTGAAATTAGATTAAGAGGAAAAATGAATAAACTAGATGATGTGTATACACCAGTCCTGTGATTGATTCTATATCTATGAAGAAAACTGTTTTAAGAGTAAAAAAGAGGGTATAGGGAAGATTATTGTAAGGACTCTCCAATTAAGAATGTGTTTTCTTAGTCTCTTTTTTCTTTTTTCCACACAAGCAAAGGTTTATTGTTGGAAAGAGGTTTGCAAGCAGAGATAGGAACGGTGTAATGCAGGCTTGACTCTGTCTCCTTTTCTTAATTGTAAATACAAGAAAATAGCCTTTCTTATTCTAGGTATCCAGTCACCCAGCCAGACTGTCCTTATCTGCCCTGTCCTCTAAATCTGAGACAAACACAAACTAAAACCAGAATGATCTCATATGAATATTCTCATGTTATTACAAAAGTAAATATATAATTCTTTGCACCAAATATGAATTACAAAGTTTGATGTTTAGTTGGTATTACCTGTTTCTATGCTGACACATGAAGCTGGGTTTCCTTTAGGGCACGGCATCATTTCCCAAGACTCAGCAAAAGCCTCTGAGGTCTTCTCCAGTATATTCTGACTTGACATGAAATCATCCTCCGCTTTGTTGTTGTAGGAACCACAGAGTCCTATACAAAAGCACAGAGCATGTTTTACCTCTCCTCACCTACTAAACTTCTTGGATAGATACCCTCACCTCATGCATGGTTCTTTCATCAAATCAAAACCTGTAGAAGCTACTTGAAAATATTTTATACACATTAGTTTCATGTCACTTCAAATTAATATCCCCATTTCATTCAAATTCCAGGAGCAAGGAAACATTTGCCATGAATACATTTGCCTTTGTGTCAAGCTCATTAGTTTATTTAAGTTGATCATATTAATTTACAAATATCTGAACATTTAGTAACATGTAATAGAAAGCATGGCTGCAAGAGGAATCTTGTAACTGCATATTTCATGGCTTCAGAGTGGAAAGTTTAATCAAGTTGTGTTGTATGCTTTTTCTGACATGGACACACCAGTCACATTTTTTCTTCTATGTATGAATATGTCATCTCCTTAAGTAAAGGTATATAGCCAAAGCTTGGTGGCCTGTAAATCAACAGCTCTTATGGGATTTGTTATAGCTGACTTGTTCATTTCATTCTACATACTATGGTAGTGTGTAAGAGCTGATTTCTATGGTAGAAAACCTCAGTGAAAAAGTATGACTATGTAACCAATCAAAAAGACAAGAAAGAATATAGTTTTTTGTGGTTGACAAATTATTTTGAGAACATTTATAGATCTAATATTTTCATTCATTCTTTTTCATGCCAAGTATGAAATACATACTTAGTAATGTATACTAACAAACATTATACCAGCAAAATGATAAATAATATATATTATAAAATTACATTATATCAAATCTTAATTTAAAAACTTCAAAATATTTAAGTTGTTGAAAACCTTTTGTGAATAGTTTCTGTAATATATAATGCAGTCTACAATGAAATCCAAGTTGGAATTGTACTACAACAGGGAGAGAGAAGTGAAATTAAAATGCTTCACGGTTTAGTGTCTTCAGAATGATAATTTGAGTGATAATAAATAATAGTTACATGGGAATCTTGAAAATAAAAATTTTTAATGCAGAAGACTTACCTACGGTGTCTGTGAATTGATTGTGTGGCATGGAAACATACAGTTGCATTATAGGAAAAATTTGTATTTGCATTTTTGCCTTAAAGGATGTCTCCACTTGAATGTATGAGGAAGATGCTTTGAAGATCTGTACTTGATCTGTTAAAATAATTATTATCATTAATTATTAACAATAATTAACATTGTAAGTAGTTTTTAATTTCTCAAATACTTTACAATCTATAAAACAGAGGCATTTAATATTTTTTAAAATATGAATAAATGAATGTCTCTTACATTTATTTTTTAGTGCTATTAAACATACCTGAATAGTAATAACTTTGATTTCTTATCTTGTCATTTGTGACTGTGCCATCTCTATTGAATATATATTTGTCCACTGTAACAGACTAATATTTAAAATATATTGTTAGTTCATATGCATTGATATTCTTAAGTTAATTTTAATGTGCTATCCAAACCAAATCATAATTTTTGTGCCATATTATTGTTATGAAATTTTTTCGAGTCGGTCTCAATTCACAGTGACTATGTATAGGATTTCCAAGGAGCTTGAACCACTAACCTCGCAGTTCAAACTGACCTTGCGGTCCAGCTCATTAACTTGTTTAAGTTGATCATATTAATTTACAAATATGTAAAATACATATTTTTTAAAAAAGCATTCTAATGCTTTGCCATATTGTTTATTGTATCAACCCTATGAGGCAGATTGTAAAAGAAACTTCATTCCCAATTTTAGATGAGGAAACTGAGACCGAAGAGGGTAAATTCAATTTCCAAAGGTCAAATAGCAGGTAAGTGCCAAAAGCCAACCTACCTTCCCCATTTAGGTCTATTTACAATTATATTGTCAATTCCAAATACATGAAATTCTAACCAAGTGTCATCGCCTTCTTGTATGGTCCATGGAGTTTGATGATTTAATGAACAGATAATATGAATGGCACTGCAGAATAAAGCATTGGACGGCAAGGTCGGTTTGAACCACAAAGTTGGATGTTTAAACACACCAGCCACTCTGCAGAAACCCTGTAAGGGTCACTATGAGTTGAACCCACTTGACAGCACTTAACAACAACAACAACATGTTGTAATTGGTATACACTTGTGTGTTTAAAGCTTCTTAGACCTAGGAATGCTTCTAGAGACTTTATCAATTTTCTGGATAATTTTAGTTATCATTTTCATTTACATAGCAAAGCTTCTCCAACTTCTAAAAATTCTGAGTTTGTGAAGTATTTGGTTCCATTTTACTATAAACAAACTTTGAAAGCTTAATACTTACAGAATTCATATGAAGTGTAACACTATTTAAACATGTTCCTGTGTGACCACTTGGACATGGACGAAGTTCAATACTAATAGACCAATCCTTATCCTGTTTTAAAAAAGAAAGTTCATTAAAATGTTTAGTAAAATATTATTTGTTATATGCTATTACATATATGTATGCTAGTACATGGGATTTACTCAGAGTGCATTTAAAAAATGTTAAATATATTTAAGTCTTACATACAACCAATCTTTTAACCTAGTTTGGTTCCTGGATATCCAAGAGTTTTATAGAGGGTCCATACACCTTGTGTAATCTATACATACATTTTATGATGTGATTGATTTTCATAATCATCAATTTTTCTTTTAACTTTACTGATTTTGTTCTCCTCAATGGGAAATGTGCTGGATTGAGGAAAATCATAGAAATTAGAGGTATTTTAACTTGTTTATTCTCTGGACAGTGCATAATCTCTACATCCAGTATGAGAGATACTTACCCTGTAAAACTGCAAATGGCAGTATAAGTGATAAATATTGACTTCCAATTCACATGTAAGATCTAGGAATCCTTAATGTTTAAGAAACAATGTTCCCCTTTCTTTTTCCCCATCCTCTAGCCTCATGGATTATGAGAAGAGAAATATAAATAGTAACAGTCAATCAGCAACCTTTGTTTTAGATAACTGCCTTTTGTACTAACTAAATTTTGTTGATTTACTGGATGTTGATCCACATCTCTCATTTCAGGATTCATAAATTTTGTTCATCTCTGTATCTTATCAGGAAGATTAAATGAACATGAATAGTCTCATGCTCACAAAAGGCATTAGTTACAAAATAATTTAGTACTGAAAATAATTTAAACATAATTGTGATCTCTATCATACTGGGAATATTATATAAGGAAAACAAAATATTAATGTAAAGAAATAATGATGAAAGGAGACAATGCTTCATGTAATATAACTGATTGCTTAGTCTAAAGCACTAGTGGACACGTGTAAATAAAAGTACAAGAATAAAATAATGTCCAGTGTATTTACAGAATTATTCATGAGTAAAGGGTTTTATGAGCAATGGATTTCCAAGAAACACAGGCAATACCAATGATAAATGTCACTATGTGGCAAAACACAACAACAACAACAACAAACAAAGAGATATTGAAAGGTATAATCAGTAATAGAGTTCATATATTTAATACTAATTCAAAGTGAAGATTGAACTTTCAATGGATTGGAAAATATCTTGGTGTTTGCATAAGTTTTCTCAAGTGTTCTAGACTACTACATACATGTATGGCCAAGAAGTGACAGTTTCCAGGATGGTTGAATTTAACACCATCAAAAGTGGTCAGTGAGCTTCCTTCCACTTTACATCTCCCAGGACATAATGCTTCAGTGCAAGACCACTTTGCTTCTTGGCATGTACTGTTAAAATGTAATGAGCATGTTAAAAGTCATCAATCATATTTTCTCTGTGATCAAAATAAATATCACAACATTTAAAAAATCAAATCTCAAAATAAATTATTTGGTCATATTCTGTATCCAATACCTTAGCTCTGATAAAATGTCTGGTATTTTAAAAGACTTGAATTTCATTGACTAGAATGATATACCTTCCACTTTCATTATACATATGCATACTTATAAAGTAGATTTCATCAGTTTGTTCATTTAAATGGAATACATTTAATTATTACTCTCAAACTATCTGCTATATATCATATTTATAAGCCTGCACTGTCCAATACAATACAAACACAAGTGGCTATTGTTGTTGTTAAGTGCCATAGATTCCATTCTGACTCATAGTGACCTGGTATAGGCTTTCCGAGAAGCAGCTGGTGGGTTTGACCTGATGACCTTGTGGTTTGCAGTCTCGTGCTGATCCTACAGCTCCACACCAGGAGTCTACAGGTGGCTATAGAGCATTTGAAATGTGGCTAGTTCAAATTGAGGTCTTTTGTAAATATACAATACATACTTAATTTTGAAATAAAAATACATATGATGAAATGTCTATCAGTTTTATTTTGACTGTATGTTGAACTGATAATAGTTTCACTTTTTCTGTTGTTAAGTGCCATCAAGTCAGTTTCAACTCATAGTGACCCCTGTATAGGGTTTCTGAGGTTGTACATCTTTACCTGAGCAGAAAAACCTCAACTTTCTCCCATGGAGCATCTTGGCATCTTTTAGGTTTGAACTACTGACCTTGTGGTTAACAGTCTAATGTTATGTTAAATAAAATATATTAAAATTGATTTCACCTGTTTCCTTTTGTGTTTTTTTTAAATGTGAGTACTAAATTTTTTAAATTGTAATATATATATATATATATATATGTATGTTAAGTACTGTGGAGTCTGTTCCAACTCATAGTGATCCTGCACAGGGTTTCTGAGGCTGCAAATCTTTATGGGAGCAGAAAGCCTCATCTTTCTCCCACAAACCAGCTGGTAGTTTCGAACCGCCAACTTGAGGTTAGCAGCCTGATTCATAACCACTGTGCTACCAGAGCTCCTTATATATAATTATTAATATGTCATGATTTACTGAATGTCTATAATAGTACTGTGCAAGACAAATATAACATGAACCATAAATGTGATATATATATATATATATATATATATATATATATATACACACACATATATGTGTATATGACATATATGTGCACACATACACACATGTATATGCACACATGTGTGTCACATTTATGGTTCATGTTATATTTGTCTTACACTGTACTATTCATCATGACAGATTAATAATTATGTTATTCATTATGTAATATGGTATTGCACTATAATAAAACATTTTTATATTTATAGAGAAACATCATATTATGGATAATAGATTTTTATAAAAGTTGAACTTGACTATTTCCTCACAAAGACACAGAAATTTCTATAAAAGTCTTGCAGAAATCTGGAATCATGTTGATTCTTCAAAAAAGAAAAATGTTCTGTGACTACTATGTTATTTTGGTTTTGTTAGGTGCCATGGAGTTGGTTGCAACTCATAGTGACCCTATGCACAATAAAATAAAGCACTTCCCGGTCCAGTGTCAAATGTTGCCACTCTCAAGCCCATTGCTGTTGCCACCTTGTCAATCTATCTCATTAAAGGTCTTTCCCTTTGTCACTGACCCTCCACTTAATCAAGCATGTTGTCCTTCTCCAGGGACTAGTCCCTCTTGATTATATGTCCAAAGTGTGAGAGATGAAGTCTCACCATCCTATCTTCTAACAAGTATTCTGACTATAATTCTTCCAAGACAGAATTTTCATTCTTCTGGCAGTCATGGTACTTTTATTATTCTTCTCCAACACCATAATTCAATTACATTGCCTCTTTTCTGGTCTTTCATATTCATCATCCAACTTTCATATACATAGGTGGTGATTGAAAATATAACTTAGGTAATGCACATCTTAGTCCTCAAACTGACATCTTTGCTATTGGTACAATAACTATCAATACATTAAAATTCAGTCAGTACTAAATACACTATCTTTACCTGTATAGCTACATCTATGCTATTTGTAGCTATTGTTTTTTGATGCACATTTCATTCAATACTTGGCATAATTAGCTTAATTATTGATTCATTATTATACCCAATTCTTTGTATTATGTTATTCTTTGTATTATGTTTATTATTATTATTCTTTGTATTATGTTTATTATTTGCAATTGCCAATTGGTTTACTATTCAAAACACTATTTCAGTTAGTGAACACTATTATCTTTAAAAGACACACAAAATATTCATTATTTTTACAATAAAAAATACATTAAATCCTCCTAAAAAAAAAAAAACAGCCAAAGCATCAACAACCCAGGAAATGTAGTCCAATTGTTATTTATTTCTGAAAATTTTACTTTTATGGCCCATTTAAGAAAATGTACTAAGTTTCCCAATCAATAAAATGTTAACAGAAAAGCACACACATACCATCGAGAACCACAAGGACCTTCTCGGACTGCTCCTGACTGAAACACTTTTCCATTAGATTCACAGGGACAGTGAGCCTTTAATACACATTTTCCTTTGTCTCCAATGTCATCCAATAGATAGCCTGGAATATGTTACATAAGTCAAATTTTAAACTATGTAAGTATCAGTAAACTGTCAAGCGGTGTGTCATAGATTGAATGTGTTCCCCTAAAAGATATGTGAAATCCTACCCTCTGTATCTATAAATGTGATTTTGCTTGCAAATAGGGGGTTTCTTTTGTTATGTGAATGAGGCCATATCAGAGCAAGATAGATCTTAAACTTAATCACTTCTAAGTGGTGTCTTACAAAAAGCAGAATAGACATAGACCCACATGCAGGGGGAACACAGATGATGTGAGGAAGGCAAACTCACACAGGATTACCAGCTGATACTAAGAACGATAAGAGCCAACAGATGGAATCAACACAGGAGCTCTGGTAGCGTAGTGGTTACGAATCGGGCTGCGAACCTTAAGGTCAGCGGTTCGAAACTACCAGCCGCTCCGCGGGAGAAAGATGAGGCTTTCTACTCCCGTAAAGATTTACACCCTCGGAAACCCTGTACAGGGTCGCTATGGGTCGGACCCGACTCGACGGCACTTAACAACAACAACAACTAAGAACGATAAGAGCCAACAGATGGAATCAACACAGGTGAGACACTGATTTGGACTTTTAGCCTCAGTAACTGCAAGAACATAAATTACTGTTTTATAAAGACATCTGCTTGTTGTGCATTTTGTTTGAGCAGCCCTAGGTTAACTAACACAAGGAGCTTTATGAAAATGTATCTTCAGCTAGTTCTTTCAAGTGTAAACATGCTCTTAAAATGGCAATTTCCTGTTTTAACAGTCTCTACTAGTTTGATATCTAACAAGAGTACAGATAACACTTTTCTGAGCCTGAGATTGTGATCCACAGAGTAGTTATATTGGCGAATGATCTGTGGAGTACCAGGGACATCAGGTACTGTGAAGAGAGAAACTGCTGTGGCTGTAAAATCTCTCTATCCTTCTTTTACAGTTTGTAAAGAGGACGTTGTAGGAATAGTTAAATTTATGAGGTATTTTATTTCAGATACTGAAACCAACCCCACTGCCATGTCAGTATTCTGATGCAGCGACACTCTAGGACAGAGTAGAATTACTCCTTAGAGTTTCTGAGACTAATTCTTTATACATGCAGACAGCTTCATTGCTCTTCCCAGAGTGTCTGGTGGGTTTGAACCAGTGATCTTGCAGTTAGCATCCCAATGCTTAGCTCACATTGCCCCCAGGGATCCTCTTGTTTCAGATAAGACACCACTGTATTTGTGTCAAATGATTTTCAGCTGTATTAGTGCATCATACAGGGTGTATTACCTTCAGGGCAGGTGCAGCCACTCACACATTCACTGTCTTGGAAAGGAGCCACATTAGAGCAAGTTGCAGGATTTGAGAGTCCACATTCTTTGTAGATGTGTTTTTTCGGACAGACAGGCTTTTCTGGAGGAACATATAAATATATATGTATAGAAAATAAAGGAAAATGCATGTAATAAATATACAATTTTAATGGATAGCATTTCAAATGGGATTCTTTGTATCTGATTCAAGATATGAGTCAGTCTTTAAGATACTTGATATATCTATATTATTCCAATTTACCATGTATTGTAATACTCAATTTGGAAAAACATGTATATTGCATGTAATTTGATTGCATATTAATTTGAAATGGATATACTACAAATATTATAATTTACAAGGATTGGAATATACATTTACACTCGTATGAAGCTCATATTTAGTTTTAATCTTCTTGAAATAAACTATCAGCGTATGTTTTATAACTCTTCCAGTTTTTTTAAACATAATTCATTCATCCTTCCTTCTGTAACTTTTACCGATTATAAGCACTGTACGTTTCCTTATTCAATGTAATTAAATTCTTAACACAAAACACTGTGTGTATTTCTGGCAAAATTTTTACCCAAAAATAGGTTTAATTTTCAGAAGTACATGTGAGAGATAAGACTCAACTCTCCAAGTTGCCTCTCAGAGCTAAGACTCTTTTGGTAATATTACTTAGAAACATCGCTTAACTTTGAAGTTTTATAAAAGCATATTTAATTGGGATCTACTATAAAATTGAAAACATACTGCAAACCACATCAGAATCATCTCTCCAGGATTCATAGACTCCAGGACCATCTGCAGCACAGAGGCGGGACAATTCTGAGAAAGTGTCACATGTAGATTTTTTGTCTCTGTGTTGGCAGTATTCATCAGCACAAATCATTTTGTAGTTATTGGCTAAAGAGGAAACTTTTCCACATTTCTCAAAGTAGGTTTCAATAATTCTGTTGCAGTGCTGTGAAATAAAGATTGATGTTACATTAAAATAAGAAAATTAGATAAACCATATAAATTCTAATGGAATTGTATTTTTCCCCCCACACTATCATGTGACAGGGGGAGTTGGTAGGTTCTGGTTGAAATAGAGCTTTTTGAAGTATTACAGTACATGTAGTGACTGTAAAAAGAATACTGGCAATTTTGGATAGTTATATAATAACTTCAAGTATAACTAAATATATCTAAAATTTCTTTAAGTATGACATGGGTTTTAGAACTGAGGAAAGGAAAACTTGGATGACTGATAATGGAATGCTATATGACTGAATATCATAAAAAGAAGAGATATTGGCCTGTTAGCTGTTAGTCTGTTCATTTTTTGATGAACAAACTAACGAAAGTAAAATAAAGTAACACTCTCCTTTCTTTATGGGGACCATGTAAATTTTCTCTGAAAATCACAGATTTATCTTCATGTTGGTTAATGAAATGAAGCCAATATTGTTGAGCTTGAAAAGTTCAAAGTTCATCATATTTCAAATACCACATTATCTAATTTCTTTTTAGCAATGTTTTTTTCTAGAGAAACACAAATCTACTCTCAATCAGTTGGACAATTTGTACTAACTGGTTACTAGGAAAGTTGGTTAATATTCTACAAATGAAATATAATAATCACATATTATTTTTTCTTCTCTTAACATTTGTTTCTTTCTTACTAGATTATAGGCCCCTTTAGTGGAAGAAATGAAACTTTGTGTCTTCTTGATATGACACAATGCTTTCACATTGTTGTTGTTGAGTAGGTTCCAACCTATAGCGATCCTGTTTAGGGTTTCCAAGGCTTCAAATCTTTGTGGGAGTAGAAAGCCTCATCTTGGTGTAACACAATGCTTTCACATTGTAAGACCTTACCTAAATATATGTTTATTCAACTAACATTTTTGAACAGTCACAAGTTTATTGGCTATGCAACTACTACAACAGATAAAAACATAATCCTTGTCATGTCAGAACTCATAATCTTGTAGGGACGATGAGGAAAATATGGTCATGATGTCTTATCATAAATGCCACATGAGTGTCGTAGGCATATTTCAATGACCATAAAAGGAGAAAGAAACTTCAATAACCAAGGAGAATTTCACAAGAAAAATGGAGGGCAATCTTATTATATGTCATGGCGTAATTTGCTTTGCTAGAAGATAAGAAGGCTATAAAGTCAAATGAAACAAATATTGTAGATAAAACAAACACATCTTGTATTCATACTGCAATACTCAACATTTTACAAAACAACAATTATCTCCATCTTGATAATTTTATTTTACGTTGAACTGGAAATACTTGAGCACTCATTGAGTCACCAAGTGGATGCAATCTATTAAATTTTGCTTAACAGAATTACATATAAGGGTAAATAAAAACATACTACATAAATCATAGAAATTTTTCCTAAAAATTGTAAAAATATGAAGCTATTGTTTCTCAACTTGGTCTATTAACTTCTGAAGGCAGTGTTTCCATTTCTGTAATCTTTCCTTTAAAAAGTGTGCACTCTAATTTACACCACATCAAAATGGCAATTTGGGCATCCTTGAGGGACTCAAATTATGTTATTTTTAAATGTTCTTTGAGCTTTTGAGATAAAAAGAAGTATGAAGGGGCAAGAACACATCTATAGGATGGATAGCATAACATTTCTCAAAGAAATTATTTTAGGACAGCCCAAAGTACTCTTGAACATTGAGCAGGGGCATTGCTGTAATGGAGAAAACTTCCTCAGCACAACATCCTGACATTTTTGTGAACCATACAGTGTTTCATTTTCTTAAAATGACTTCCTAATGATTTCCCTGTGTCCTTCCAAGAAAATCTATCAAGATTGTTGTTGTTAAGTGCTGTAGAGTTGGTTCTGACTCAGAGTAACCCCAGATAGGTTTTCCGAGAAGCGGCAGGTGTGATTGAACTGCTGATCTTGCAATTAGCAGTCCAGTGCTGACCCTCTAGTGTCACACCAGGACTCCAGGATAACCCTTTAGAATCCCAAAATACCTACTGAGCTGACCTCTCTGCCTTTAACTGAACTGACTCAACAGATCCTCTCAGAAACCACTGTTTTAATGGGACCTTGTACCATGGACTATACTGGTAAATTCAAACCTTGTTCCCTAGTTACAGTTCATTTCATAAAATCATCATCTTTGATCTTGCTGAAAAGACTAATGGAAAGATCAGCTCTTTGGGCTAGGATCTTCCCACAATGCTTTAGGCATCTATTTAGCCAAAAGCAGAGGCCAAGATGTTCAATTAAGTTTGAAAATGCCACACTGTGTGAGATCCCACTTTAGTAGCTATCACATCAATGGCAGTTTTACAATCTTCTTCTGCCAGTTTCTGGGCTTCAGTCAGTGTCTTCATTTGTCAAGGACGATGGCCTTCTCTCTCTTGACTCATCTTTGAGGTCTCCCAAACGTCTTTAAAATGCTTTATCCATCTAAATATGGTTTTTTTATATGAGGCAGAATCCCGATAAACTTGTTGCAAAGTTTCAATGCTCTAGGAAGAGGTCTACTTAAGTTTTGTTAGAATGTGATATTACTCGGGTCCTCAAAATCAGTTTTCACATGACACAAAGAGTATCCTTTGTTTTTTTAAGGCAACCTAATGAGTCCTGGAGAGTCCTGGTGTGGCGCTATGGGTTAATGCGCCAGACTGCAAAGCCGTTTGAACTGTAAAGTTGGTGGTTCAAGCTCACCAGTCACTCCTCGGAAACCCTATACAGGGTCGCTATGGGTCAGTACCAACTCGACGGCACTTAACAACAACAATGTGTCCTTGGTGGAACCGACTCGGCAGCACTTAACAACAACATTGAGTCCTGGTGTGGTGCTGTGTGTTAATGCACTGGACTGCAATGTCGGTTGGAACCACAGGGTCGGTGGTTCAAGTTTACCAGCCGCTCCTTGGAAACCCTATACAGGGTCGCGACGAGTCGAAACTGACTCGATGGTACTAAACAACAACAACAACGAGACTAAGGCAATTGTATTACTGAAAGAAATTGTCTTCAGGCATCAAATAGTCACAGAGATATAATTAAACATGTTTTATTTGGAATAATCCCATGCATGTATGAACTGGAATCCTAATTGCAGTACTTTTTGACTTGCCTTTGAAAGTGTAAAAAAGTGTACAAAGACTATAGTGCTTTTTGTCAAGTGCTGTAATTAAAAAGTTTTACAAATAAAAAATAAAAGGTGGGGAAAGCTCATTCAGACTAGTTACCTAGGACAAAAGTAAAAGAGTGAGAGAAGAAACTAATTCTTAAGGGTACAATACATGGATTTCCAAAACTATAAGTCACTTCATGAAGTGCTTATCCTAAGAAGAAAATGTGTGAGGTGAAGGACAGAAAATCATTTATTACACCCCTTCTAGCCAAATTTCTCCATTTTGTGATGCATTGTGAATCCAAATCTCTTTATTCCTGTGACTATGGACCCAGTTTGAAATGAGTTGCTAAGGCGTAGAGCTTAAAGTGTGGTTAAGGAGTCCTGGTGTGGCACTGTAGGGTAAAGCATGAACCGTAAGGTTGGTTTGAAACACACGGCCAACAGTTCAAACTCACCA